TGATGAACTGGAAACAATAGATCATTTCTTTTTGACCTGCAGGCGGTTTAAGACATTATGAAAAACCCTGTTGAAAATACCTTTACGTGGTATTGGTATGGACTTATCTCTGCCTGTCATTTTGTCTTTTGGAGCTTCCATATCTGGTTCCTCTAATGCGACAGTATGCGCGGCCGTCCGGGACTATATTGATCAAACTAATAGGTTGACTAATTAACCAGTTTCATTACCCTAACATGTCCACATAATTATATACGTATAAAATCAGATTATTGCTCTATTCTAAGAATAAATTCGTTTATGTAAATATTTGTATGCTATACATTAAGCACCACACTTGCCTAGGCTATCGGTAATCTTCCTGTTATACCTCCATCATTCTAAATCTGAACAGTAAATTTTAGAGCCACTCGATTCTTGGCCAACCCCCCAAAGGGGGTATGCGCCACTAATAATAGGAGAACAACAACAACAACAGCATCGTCCTAGAGCTAGCTACTCGGTGGTTTAATAAATCCCCCAGTACTTCTGATTCATCGTGACAAACCGAAAGACAACTGTGTACTGCCCGGAAACCAACGGATTTATCGAGCGACTGAATAAGACCTTCCCAGACATGATCTCAATGGCAATATACATCGACGTACAGCGCAAAGCATGGGACCGGATCTTACCTTACGTGACCTTCGCGTATATTACCGCCGTGGAGGAGACCACGCGATTCACGCCATTTCGGCTTCTCTACGGCCGCGAAGTGCAGACCATACTAGACTCTATGCTACCGTGTCAAGACGAAGACGAGTTCACAACTGACGCCAAAGAATTCGCAGAGCGTGCCGAGGAAGCCCGGCAGCTCGCGCGACTGCACATCGGCCAGCAACAGCAGGCAGACGCACGACGCTATAACACCCGCCACAGAGAAGTGTTTTACAGCTCCGGAGATCCAGTTTGGATGTGGACGCCCGTCCGCCGCCGTGGCCTTAATGAAAAGTTACTGAGCCGGTACTTTGGCCCATATAAAGTGTTACGCCGCGTCAGTGACGTGAACTACGGAGTGGTTCCAGACTCAACACCGCATGCATGGAGCAGGACAAGACCGAGGCCGGACGTCGTTCATGTGTTGCACATCAAACCATTTATTGCGCGTTGTTCGTAACTTTTTATTAAGCGTACAGCGTTCTTTGTGTTTTTGTTTATGTTGTGAACTTGCTTCCTCGTTCATCGCCTTTTCCTATATTGGCACGCTCTTCAATTTCTACTTTCACTTTATCTGAATTTCCAATTTCTTTTTTTCACGTACCTATGTTGTAGCATCAAGGTGCTGCTATGTACTTTTCTTTCCTCTTTTGGAGCTTTTTTTTCTATTAGGAAGGGGCGATAATGCCACCAGCACGTAGTAGGTCGACAGCTAGAGCGGCTCTCAATCTGGAGGAAAAAAGAAGATCGCATGCTTCTTCTCTGCTCAAGAGCCAGCCACCACAGACGCATCGTCCTAGAGCTATCTACTCGGTGGTGTAATAAATCCCCCAGTACTTGTGACTCATCGTGACAGTATGCATGTATGTATGTATGTATGTATGTATGTATGTATGTATGTATGTATGTATGTATGTATGTATGTATGTATGTATGTATGTATGTATGTATGTATGTATGTATGCATGCATGCATGCATGCATGCATGTATACATGTATGCATGTATGTATGTATGTATGTACGTATGTATGTATGTATGCATGTATGTATGTATGTATGTATGTATGTATGTATGTATGTATGTATGTATGTATGTATGTATGTATGTCCGACCTTCTGTCCGCCGGTCCAATTACCAGTTTGTGCGTCTTTCCGTCTGTCCCTCTGCCTGTCCATTCGTCCGTATGTCCACATATGCATCCGTCTGTATATTTATTCATCCGTCCGATGTCCATCTCGTGCACATGAACATTCCAAGTACCACCATCCCACATCTTTTCATCATATATTCATCATATACAAGTACCGCCATCTAACGGACATTCTAAGGACTAAAACCAGAGGAGGTTACTGCATACAGGAGACGCATGGCCCATGCGTGGAGGACTTCCGCCCCAAAAACTCCTCATTCAAACTACTTCAATAGAGATTGTCACTAGAACCAATGCTTCCAGAAGCGACTTTGTCAAAGCAGCAACTGTAAAAGGCATCATTTGCTTCCTTACAGTGTCGATCG